TCTTCATCTCTGAGATTTTTGCTTTGTATTTGAAAAGATAATAGATAATTGATAATACTAACAGTTTCGTATAAAATGCATCAAGGGGAATGCTTTTGACTTTCGAAAGCCTTAAGGAAACGAAAGTGCAGGACTATTGTTTAACAAATGAACATTTAGAATGTTGGATCTGCTATCGACCAAGGGCCTTGGAGGAGCTGCTTTAGATGCGATTCGATTACAGCCAACTGCAGCTCTGAAAATCATTAGAGATTCCCTTTTTCCACCCACCAAACGAGAGGGACAGACAGCAAGCAAGTATCTACCCCGAAAAGGCAGAGAGGGAGAGCGCGAGAGTCAGTATTTTGCGTTGGTATTAATTCGGGAAATAAAAGCACAAGAAGCACCAAGTAAATGTCAACGTCCTCGTACTCGTCCTCCCACTGTCCTGCCCACTCCTCGCTCCCCCATAAAAAACAAAAGCCAGACCCAACAGAGTTTATATAAATATATATATATAATATATATAAGGATGTATGTATGTATAGTGTAGTATGTATGTATAAATATTTGATGGCATTGCTGACAATTTATGATGCAAATTCCTCACCCAAAAACTCAAGAATGACAGAGGATGCGACACACACAGTTGCAGGGGGTGGGGTGGGTGTAGGGACGACAAATTGTCGAGAAATTGCATAAAAATACAAAAGAAAGAGAGAGAAAAAAAAAGAAACTGCACACACAAATTGTAATGCTGAAAAATCTGTAATCTCAAGTAGTTGCGGGTGCACTCGAAAGATATTTATGGACGGTGGGGGGTACCAGGGGACAAGGAATCATACAAAAACAAATAAAACGGGACTGAAGCAATGCAAAAACATGAAAAGATCCTGCGGTTTTTTGGATTCGAAGATGTCAATACCCTAGGAAGTGCATTCTAAGCTGGGACAAAAATATCGGGGATTATTGAAATATTACAATTTTCCGGAAATAATAAACAGAATTTTTAAAAAAATTATAAAGAATTAAGAATTATATTTAATTAAAAAAAGTTTTTTAAAAATATGTGTGTGCATATAAAAGTATATATTAAATTAATGAATTAAACAAAAAATAATTAAATTTTGGTATTTTCGAAACTAATAAAAAATTAATCATTTTTTTATTTTAATAACAATTGTTTAAAAATGAATTTAATAATTTTCAATCATAGAAAAAAAAAATATTTATATGTTTCAAAATTAGTAGAATGATTTGTTTTATTTTTTTTTATTTTAAAAATTAGTAAAATGATTTATTTTATTTTTTATTTTTATTTTAAAAATCGTTAAAAAATAATTTTTTTTATTTAAAAAACTAATAAAAATGCATAGTTTTTATATTTTACTGTTTTTAATTATGAACAAATAATAAAGTCTTTTGATCTAATAATTATTAAAAAGTAATAGTTTTTTTTCAAAATCTTAAAAAGTTTATAAATTGTAAAGCTTTTGTTTTTATTATTATTAAATTATTATTATATTTATGTATATTTATAATATATTTTTCCCCAAAAATAGCAATAATTATTGTACCTAAAGGAGGTCCTTTATATGCTGCTTCTTTCCCGCTCTCTTCCTGCCATTCCGCCACATACCCATTTATAGGGTAACCAAAAAGTCAGCTTAAATGCAGGCCAACGGCCACAAAAATTGCATGCAAAAATATTCAGTGTGTGTTATTTTTATTCCCCCCCCATTTATGGGCTTTTGTTTTTGTTTTTTTGTTTTTATGTATTTTTGTTTTTCTGTTGATGCATCAGAAAATAAATTGAAATATTTCTCTGTTGACAAAAGCAAACAGAGAGCCACAGTTTTTGTTGTTTTAGATGTTTTTGTTGCTGCTGCCTGCTGCCATTCGATGATTTATTTAATTTACTAAAACTAACACAAAATATTTGATTGGAGTGGAACAGAACAGAATACTCTACGCATTTGATAATAAAATCACGTTCACACGCTTACGGCCACAAATCAATTGGTGGCTAGTGTTCCCTCCCCTCCCCTCTCCACACCTCACCGCCCCCCTCTCTATCGGGTGGGTAACCACCAAAAAGTGAATCAAACCTAAACTTGATTATACAAAATTATTCCTCTTTTTTTCCATACGACACACGGTCGAATCTTTTTTGGGGACCCATATTCGTGGAACTGAAACTCCCTCTCCCTCGCTCTCTGTCCCCCTCACTCGTTCATTTTTCACCCCACAAAGCAGGGTTTTTGGGCAGCCTCGGGGGTCGTCGGTCAATATCAATCTATCCCCACAGATTCATTTTGGGACTGTCCGTTCCGTTCTGTTCTGTCAATCCCTTTCAACGTGTGCGGTCACATTATCCCCTGCCCATTCCTCTTGCTGACCCATTTATTCCCTCCATTCCCCCCCTTATCCTGTGCCCTTTTCCTGTTGAATATGCCACATCATTTCAGCAACGAAAACAAACTGTTTTTGTAGCATAATATTTATGGGCATTCAAAATAAATAAATATTTCCCCACCGCCACGAATTTTTGCAATTTTCAATAGTGGCTGTGGCGCCATCTGTTGGCTAACCGCAACAAAGAGTAGGTCTATATTCCAGGGGCGGTTGGGGGGATATCATTAATGGCACTGAAATACGAGCCATTCAGTCGCCATGAAGTGTGAATCGTGCGAAACGAATGAATCATAGAAATCCTGCCGAGGGTGGATTGGCTCCTGGATTGACAGGGTGGGGGGGAATGTGTGGCGCTTGATCGCATTTCAACAGATGCAGAATTATATTATATGAACGTATATTAAGGGAATTTAAGGAATTTTCTATACAAAAACATATTTTACAAACGAAAGTGTCAAATTCCTGCAGAATTCCAGAAATATCACACAATAGTCAGGCAAATATTTAAGCAATGTAGTTTCAAGGGGATTTGGTAATCTATAGATTGGCCCTGACAGGGACATACATAAAATATAGCTTTTTTATATCCAATAAGAACTGAATATATAATCTCCTTCTATATGTATTCCTATAGCAAAATGTTGTAATTGAGCCAAAAAATTCTTTAAACCCAAGAATCAGATATCGATGCATTTATTCCCATAAAATATTTCAACTTTGGCCTTTCGATACTTATTTCGTTGGCTTTTAGCTCTCGAAAGCCATGGTCACACTTATTTTCAGTGAAAGTTTTTTCAAACTCTTTTAGTGTTGCAAAACTTTCTCCTGCGGTTCGAAGAGAAAGTGCTTGCTCAAAACACTTTTTCTCTAGTGCTGTACAACTTTTTGCATATACTTTTTCTTTATTATTTGTATTTTTATTGTTATTTTTGCTGTTTATTATAATTTGTAATATTATTTTTATATATTATAATTTGTAATATTATTTTTATATATTATAATTTGTATTTGTATTTCTTATTTATATTTATTATTATTATTTATTATTTTTATTTATTATTTTTATTTATTATTATTATTTATTATTATTATTTATTATTATTATTTATTATTTTTATTTGTTATTATAATTTATTATTTTTGTTTATTATTATTATTTATTATTTTTATTTTATTTTTCCTTTAAACTGATTTTCACTTTCGGTCAAAAACCCCAACAATCTGCCGCACAATCTGTTATGAATTTTTATTGAGCTGTTGAGAAAAAATAATTTATCGCCCTCGCTGATGGGATGGTTGGTTGCATTCCTCAAATGATGAGAACCGATCGAAAAACGTTCAGAATATTTTTTTCGGGGCATGTGGCTGTAGGGTTACCTCATCATCAGCCTCATGGAATCGAATGGAAGGTGGAAGGAGGTGGGAGACCATTCACTGCCTGAATTTAAATGGACAAATTAATTGCGTTTGTCAGTGTCTGCGTGTCTGCGTCGTGTGTGTTTGTGTTTGTGTGTGTGTGTGTGTGTGTGTGGACAGGTTCTGGCCATTGGCCAACAAAAAGAGCCAGCCAAAATCCAACAAATGAACAACAAATTAATTGGTTTTTGGACACTGGCGATGAAATATATTTAATTTGGAGACTTAATGCCGGACAGAGATTGCATTTGCATGAAGAAGATCCTCCCCGTAGATCGTCTCTGTGTGCGCCATCAAATAACCATTAAACGGTAGACCATTATCCTGAAAGGATCGCAGCCCATTTATCCGTTGAATGGTGATTGAGTATCGCCTTGAGGGACATAAATTATCGCACGGAGGGTGCCTGCCTGGTGGAAGGTAGACAACAACAAAAATCTATAAAGAATTCCTCGATCGATCCCCACTTCATTATGCCAGATCCTGCTTTGGGTTGACAGTTTTATTGTGTCGCCTTTATGGGAATTAATTGAGTCGCTCGAATCGGAGGATCCCAAATGAAGTTGTGTCTTTCCATGGAATGTCGCTGGTGCTCTCCCTTCTGTACCCCCCCTTGGGGCAAGATGGACCACACATTGCGACAACCAACATTCGTTCTTTCTCTCTAACAAATTGGCTATTTTCATGCCACGCCTGCGGGTGAGAGCCGATTGCCAATTAATTATAATTGATTAGCGGATATTAAATGGAATTATGAAAACGATGAAGCGATGAAAACGATGATGAAACACTAATGATGATGATTATTCGATCGAAAAACACCCGCAGATACGTTTCGGGGATATGCATAGATATTTCCATACCAAAAAAAAAAAAGACTTAATTGTCGCCTAAATTGGTCAAAGGTATTTCTTAATCGATTTTCTAGAGAAAAATACCTTAGATTCGGGTTTTAATTAACCCTGCCGGTGCACCTGCCCTCTGCCGCTGTCAGCTACAACTCTAGGGGGCGCCTGCCCGGTCAGCACCTTGCAACCCTGTCTCCTGTCTAAGGGGAAAAGTGCCAATCATTGTGAAAGCTGTCAACGCGAAAAAAATAACAAGGAAAGTGAATTCTTGCGCTGTTTTACGAGTAAGATTTTCATCGTTTTTCCCGCACGTATTTCCCCCTAAAAAACAACCCATGTGTTTTCCAGCGAGAGAGATATCAATGGGTGGTGGTCGGAAAATGGAAAAGCGCCTCTCGCACCGCAATCGAAGTGGCAGCAAATCCGAGCAGGCGGTTTCCTGCTACACACGTCCCCGATCCAGGAATCGTTCCCGCTCTAAAGATCGCTCCCGCTCCCACTCCCGTTCCCGCTCCCGATCCCGTTCGCGTGCCACCCGTTCGAGTGTCATGGCCAGAAAATCCCTAACGAAACGTCGCCGCCACGGCCCCAGCCTGTGGGATGTGCCGCCCGAGGGCTATGCCCACGTGACGCCCATGCAGTACAAGGCCATGCAGGCCAGTGGCCAGATCACGGCGCGCATCCAGTCGGACACGCAGCCGACGGCGGACACGGCGGCCATTGCGATGGTGACGCGCCAGGCGCGTCGCCTCTACGTGGGCAACATACCGTTCGGCGTCACCGAGGACGACATCATGGCCTTCTTCAACCAGCAGTTCCTGCTGCTCGGCGACGACTGCGGCGGCCAGCTGTGCCTCGACGGGAAGGCGGTGCTGTCCTGCCAGGCGAATCTCGACAAGAATTTCGCCTTCATCGAGTTCCGTTCGATGCAGGAGGCCACCCAGGCGACCACATTCGATGGCATCTCGTTCCGTGGACAGGTGCTGAAGATCCGACGGCCACACGACTACCATCCGGTGGGTTCCGTTGGCGCTGCCGCTGGCGCTGGCAGCATCCCAGACGCCGTCGGAGGCTGTGCTTCATCGGCGGCCGCCAAGTCCCGGTCGTCCTCAGCGGACACTGGGAGCCTGGGCAGCCAGGCGATCTCCAACCTCGTTCCGGACTCGCCGCACAAGATCTACATTGGGGGCCTGCCCACGTGCCTGAACGAGACGCAGATCAAGGAGCTGCTGCTGTCGTTCGGCCAGCTGCGGGGCTTCAATCTGGTCAAGGACCCCAGCACAACGCTCAGCAAGGGGTACGCCTTCTTCGAGTACGTCGATCCATTGCTCACGGAACAGGTGATTGCCAACCTGAACGGCATGCAGCTCGGGGACCGCCGGCTCATCGTCCAGCGCTCGATACCCAGCGGACGGTACGCGGGCATCCAGCAGATTCCCATCCAAGTGCCCGGCCTGGTGGCCACATCCCTCACGGGCTCCACAGCGGGCCTGAACAATGCCACTCAGGTGCTGTGCCTCCTCAATATGGTGCTGCCGGAGGAGCTGCTGGACAACGAGGAGTACGAGGACATACGCGCCGACATCGAGCAGGAGTGCAGCAAGTACGGCGAGGTTCTTAGCCTCAAGATACCACGTCCCCAGGCCAGCGGAGGGGAAGGGGAAGGGGGAGGAGGAGGGGACTCTGCCACTCGCCCCAAGGGCTGCGGCAAGGTGTACGTCCACTTCGGGACCATCGAGGACAGCGAGAAGGCTCTGGGCGCCCTGAGTGGCCGCAAGTTCAGCGGCCGCATTGTCATTGGTTCCTTCTTCGATCGCGACAAGTATTTGTCGGAGGATTTTTGATGGATTTCCATTGGATTTCCATTTTGAATGCAATTTTTGATCTCAATTCCATTCCCAATTTAAGGTTTAATCCCTGGGGGTGTCTTTTCTGCCTTTCTACAGATAAATAAACAAGTTGCCGTAATCTGAAAAGCCTCTAGAGCTGTCAGAAATCGTGGTATCTGTGCGAATGTTCGTATCTTTTGCGCTGAAAGTCTTGTTTTCAGGGATTAAATCGCCTCAGAGATAAGTCCATACCCCTCTCTCTTTCGCAGAGAGCACTCTCCCCTCTCTTTCGCTGAGAACTCTCATCTGCTGCCCAAGAAATCGCTTCAAAAATATCTCTGGAAGGATACGCCTTTCATTTTGGGATTCAATTAGGGAAACCGACTTAAGGCTGCAATCCTTAAAGCTCTGGGGAGTCACCGCCGCCGCCTCCTCCTGGGCCCGGCTTTTGCTTAATTAAAATTTTAAACCTTGCGCCTTATCGCGTTGGCATTTCTCACAGCAGATTCACACCTACCCAAAGCCCTTCGCCGCTGCCCTCCTCTGCCTCTGCCTCTGCCTTCGATTGGTACCTGAAACCTGAAACCCCAAAGTCAATCTCATTACGGAGCTAAGATCCCACAGACCCTGGGCCCTGGGCCGCCTTCTTCAATGGCAGAAGCTTCTCCATCGTCTTCTTATCTCTCGCTGAACGGCGGTTGCATTTTTCTCAGGTTTCAGACAGACAGACGGACAGAGAGGAGTGCCTTCCGATGTATGTACAATGTACCCTTTGAGGGTTTCTCTTATCTTTTAGCTTTTGGTCATTTGCCGGACACCCGACAGGCGATCATCAATAATGAAATGCTTGCCACAGCCACAGCCACAGTCCCGTCCCGGTAGAGAGGAACAACAAACGATTTATCTCAGTGGAGAGACGACTAAACGCTTTATCGAAAGGTACCTCGCCTCGCTCCTCTCTTCCTCTCAAATCAATTCAACGCCTTTGGATAATGTCATTTACCAGAGGAGAGGCTGCCTCCTCCACCTCCCCTCCCTTCTAGCTCTAGAGAGAAAAAAACTTCTTTCGATGCCGCTCTGTCGCTCCGGCTGTCCCATGAAAATCAATGCCCTGCTGCTGCCTCCTCGATGGGTAATTAATAAACGCCCATAAAGATACGGCGGATACAATAAAAATTCCATCGATGGATCAGAGCGAGAGAGAGAACTCTGAGAGAGAGAGAGAAGAAAAAGGGTTTCTTTTGATTTTTGTTTGTAAATTTTTATGATCTGTGCCACAAAAGCTGGGGATTAACTGGATTGAGTGCCCATTCGTCCAGATTCAACATCTTCTATTCCCCCTCCCTTTTCCCCTTCCTGCATCTTCTGGTCAAACAACTTCTCTTTCGATTTGTGTCCGAGGTTAGGGTTTAGGGCCCTGCCCCCTGCCCCCCGCCCCCTCGGGATATGTTAGGTAATCGAAATTAAGAAATCAAATCCACAGTTGAGTGAACTCCACTCTCTCTCTCTCTCCCTCCGTCCCTTTCCTTCGCTTTGGGGTTACCATTCTCTATGCATTTTTAATTGCATTTCACATCATTTCATTTGATTTCATTTGAATATGATGTAGTAGATAATTATATGGCCAGGCTACCGCCCCGAGGCAACGCCTTCCTCCTCCTCCTCGATGATGTCTCTATTTAAGAGCCCCAGAAGCTTGTTCTCTCCTTATCCATATCCATCAATTGATTTGTGGAAGCCATCTCTGAGAAAGGGTTAGGAGGAGCGGGAGGGAGCGCTATCCGAACTTTAATTAGTAAAATCTTTAGGTGTTTTCTCTGCCCCCACTAATGATAGTTTAGGTGCAGAAGCCGCCTATAAATTGGCCAGAGATCTTGTTCTTGGATTTGTATCGCCCTCTAATGATATCTAGATACAAAATTTGTTCTTCCGCTAATGATATCCCAGAGATATGCATCTGGAAATCTCCCACAATTTGTACACAACTTTTAATGAAGATATATCCATGAATAAATGGGAGATTAAAGACCAACAAAAAATCCTAATGAACTTTATTCAAATACTCGTACGAGCTCTGCAAAATTTCAATCTTTAAAAACGGGTTAAAAAAACGTTCCGTTGGATGAGCGGGGAATTTCGGGTTTAATTAATAAAACAGAACCCCCCCTCAGGCCACACACACTTCTAAGAACCTGTTGCTTCGCATTTGTATATCCCAAAATTGAAATCACATTTCCGCATCACAAAATAAAAGAAACAACAACAAAAAAGGTACATGTAAAATACACAAATATTATTCTGCAATTCATGGGAAATTTCGTCTATACCCTCAAGGATGTATTTTTCTTTCGGTATCTACATGATATAGTCATCCCATTCGGAACCAAATGAAAAATAAATACAATATACTTATGATTCTGTTATTTGAGGAAACAAAAGGGTAGTTGAATTTTATTTTAATTATTTTTATTTAATTTCATGTATTTATTTTAATTAATTTTATTTATGATCACAATCTAATTAATAAAATTTGTATTTCATATTATTTTACCTTTTATTTAATTATATATATTTTTTTAATTACATATATTTATTTTTGGTTAATTTTTTGTAATTTAAATTTTTCTTTATTCATTTTATTATTATATTTCTATTTTTTATTCATTATATTTATTTTTTATTTCATTTTTTTTGTTATTCATTTTATTATTTTTATTAAATTTGATTTATTTATTTATATTTTTTTTATTATTTTTAATTTTTTATTTTATTATATTTAATATTTTTCTATTTATTTTAATCTTATTTTATGAGTGATGCTTTTATGTAAAAAATATATGTAAAATATGGAGAATTTGTTTCCGCAAGAGCGCCAAGATATTCCTTCAGAAATAATTCTCTATGGCATAGCTCGAAAGATACGTTCGTCCTTCCTCTAATAATCATAACACCCTCACACTACAAAGCGAAAGGGTATGCAAAAACAAATTTCCGCCAAAAATTTCAACTCAATTTAATGTGAAAAACAGGGTTTTAGGGTTTTAAGGGGGTTAGTACTGTGTGGGGGGGTGGGGTATGCCACGCTTTCTTCCTTCCTTCTTCTCCAATTTCACTGTTCCGCGTCGCTACGTTAATGGCAGTGCAATTAATTCGAGCAAATCGTCTGTGAACCCTTTTTATGACCTCTAAGAGCATGCCCCACGCCCCCGTCCCCCGCCACTGGTTCACACAGCCACCACAGTCTTTGTCTTTGTCTTTCTCTGTATCTATCACTACGTACTGCTGTCTCTTTCTCAAATAAAAATTCATTAAACAACATCAATCCCGCTTAAAATTCGTCGCCCATTCATCCGCTGAAGAAAAAGCTTTGTTAAGCTTTAAAAACTTTTTTTAAATATAAAAATTAAAAAAAAAAAACTAAAGAATAAATAATAAATAATAAATATAATAAATAAATAAAAATAAAATGTCTTGAAAAATTGTCAAGGTTAGTTGAAAAAAATAATAAGTGTAGAAAGCTGGTAGAATAGTAAATTGGTAGCCAGATCGTTTGAACCGACGAATGAGTTGCGCATTACCCATAACTGAAAGGATACAATCGTATGGAAAGCCTCTGTGCGCCTCACATGCATAGTATATGTATGTAGATCCCAAATATTCCAATATTATGGGCCAAAATACAAACAGTGGTAGTTGAAACAGTTTGTCTAGTAGTTCTTTCCGTTTAAGAATTTTTTCTGGCTGCTAGTTCCAATTGAAAGACATTCTTTTCTATTCATTTCAGCCTTGGCAATGCCCGCTTAATTTATTATCCTCCTTTAAGAGCCCTTAACCCGTGAACTAGTTCTCAATGCATTGAAAGAGAGATAGAAAAGAACCTCAACCCATTAGCGGGATCCGTAGCTCGATTGAACACATTGTTAGATGATTATTCCACTGATCCATTACACAGGCCATTTGTCTTGGCCAGGGAGTCGCCCTTTCGCCTCTCGAGACAATTCGAACAAATCCCGGTTCGAAGAACCCATTTCAGGCAGGAGGCACCCTACAGCGGGAACAAAAGGTAAACGAAAGATGGAAAATGGTAAAGGAGAGAGAGAGAGGCAGGGAAAACTGTGTCCAACTGAATGGAGTTTTTTCCAAGCAGCGAACGCGAAATAACCTGCGACCTGCGACCCGTGAGCGCATTTAATGAGGGTCATAAAATCAAGCGCCAGGCCTGGAAAAACCAGAACCAGAAGCAGCACCAAATCCACCTCCAGACAGAAAAAAGTGTGTAACCCGAACAGAACTCTGGGCTCAGGGCGCGTAACAGGTGCGATGTCTGTCTTGCGATGAAATTCGAATGCAGATTATGGCTAGGTAGCCGAAAAAGGACACTTTAAGGACGACATTTCTGATACAGTTTTACCAGTTTTCCGGCTTTGATATTCCGCCAGAGAACCCAGAGCGCACTCATTGAATCGTTTGTGTTTTTTTTTTTTTTTTGGGAATTAGAGTCTCAAGATTTCGAGATTTCTTTTGTGTTGTATATTCCTATGCAAATGCCTGGGCGTGTCAACTTCTGACCCCAAAGTGAGGCATAATCCAAGAAAAAACAAAAAAACAAAAAAAAAACCCTCCTGAAACCCAGAAGCAGCGGACGGACGGATGATGCGGCGGCACAACAATAGGAGGGACAGAGAGAGATGGAAATGCAGAGAGAAAAAAACACACACAATTTAAGCTGCCTGAAATGCTCGACTTTCGACTCCCCTCTCCTCCACTCCGCCACAATCCAAACTAAATGTCTGACTTAATTTTGTTGTTCTACTGTCGAGGCGGGCGACTCAGGAGTCAGGACTCGGCACTCAAACTGTTCCACTCTTATGCACTGAGAGAAAGTAGATCGAGGATTATAGTCAGGTGGAATGGTATTTATTTCACATTTAAATGTCTTATAAAATTATAGAATAATCAGGGAATTAGACTTTATTTTGTATGGCTTAAAATATAATTCTTATTTAATTTAAACAGGGAATTTATCCACTAAATTGTTGCATTTTAAATATTTATTTTATGTAATTTTTGTTCAATTGATAATCTTTTGATTTCAGGCCCCAGTTACGATGCCTGGCTGTCCTCTTCTGATCTTATCCTTGCATTCTCTCATATTTCTTTGCGTT